TCCAAACTTTAGACTGAAAGGCAGTGATGAACTCAACCGCATTATATATAATAGAAATAAATGTGCAGAAACGTCGGCATGCTTTCAAGTTAAATATACAGCTCAAAGCATTAAAGTAAATACAAATCTGAACAGTGTAAGGTATATATAACTCAGCTATCTCTACATGCAAATGCACATACTATATGAAATGCACCATTTGCTCCCACTCTCAAGTGCTCAACCACTCGGTACTATATATGGCGATCCGGCCCAGGGAAGATCCATCCCGGAACATATACAACACTGACTATAAGTCATCCAGTACCAAGGGAAACGGCAATCCAACCCTGTGGAGAAGATCCATCTCCAGGTAACAAGTACTTCGGACAAGATCCATGTCCAGGGAAATCCATCTCTCAATAATTTCATCCACGCTCACTTGGGGTTGTGTTACAGACTCCGGAGGGGCTCCTACAGCCCATGTGCTATCACAAATTAATATAACCGATGCGGCGTGCAACCCGATCCCATAAGTGTCACTCATAATCAGGCTCTCGGCCTCAATCAGTCATCAATCTCTCCAGTCTCTCCCACGGGCTCAGAATGTCATGTAAACTAACCCCGAAAAATGATATGATGAATCAATAAACAACAAAGATGAAGATATGATATAAGATGCATGAATATGACTGAGTACAAAATATCAATGAAAATACTGAGATGACAGCAAGGAACGACCACTAAGGGTCCCAACAATACCGGCATAAAGCCTAAACATGATATCTAGCATGATTTACAGCTCAATTACTTTATCACATGATGAAAGCATGGATGTCAACAGGATAGAGTCACTAAACGGTGCCATGGAATCACCCAGGTCACAATTTCCACGATGCACGCCCGCACACCCATCACTTGGCATGTGCATCACCTCAATACCAATCATATAGCACATAATTTGGGGTTTCGGACCCTTAGAACCAAGTTTGAAAGCGTTGCTTACCTCGAACCGAGCAAAATCCAACTCCGCAATGCCCTTGCCTTTAAAATCGTCCTCTAAACGTCCCGAATCTAGCCACAAGTAATACAATACAATCAATATAGGCTAAAGGGATTAGTTCCACAAGAAAACTACCAAATTAGAGTCAAAATCTGAAATCGACTCAAATCCGGCCCCCGGCCCACGTCTCGAAATTCGACCAATCACTCACGAGTCTAATCATACCAAATTTATCAAAATCTGACCTTATTTGGTCACCCAATTCCCCAAAATCCACTCTCCAATTCTCAAGCCCTAAACCCCCAAATTTCACTTTGAAATCTTGCTAATTAGGTGGGGAAATCAGTGGAGAAACAAGATTTATGATCCAAAATGAGTTCAAGAAGCTTACCTCAATAATTCCCTAAAAAATCTCCTCCAAAATCGCCTAAGTCCGAGTCTCAAATGTAGAAATAAGACCAAAATTGCAAACCCTTGCCTTTTAAGCTTCTACCCAGACTTTTCGCACCTAGGGGCCCTCTGTCGCATTTGCAACGCCGCACTTGCGGAAATACCATCGTAGGTGCGAATTTCACTTAAAATTCCAGATTCTGCTCCTGCATTTTCAAGACCGCATTTGCTTCCATCACATGTGTGGAATTCCATCGCACCTGCGAATCCCTCTCGCACCTGCACCGAGCTGCCGGCTTCTCCTATCCTCGCAGGTGCGGGAACATCTTCGCACTTGGGACTCCTGCCCAGCTAGTCCTTGGCCGCTTCTGCGGCTCCTCCCTCGCTTCTGTGGGCTCGCACCTGCGGTTCCCACTTTGCAGGTGCGGTTACACCAAAAGCAGCAACACTTCAGCTGTAATTCCTCAACTCAAATCAAGTCGTCAACCACCCGAAATCAGCCCGAGTCCCTCGAGACCACAAACAAACCTACTAACAGGTCCTATAACATCATACAAACTTATTCGAACCATTGAATCACCCAAAACAACATCAAAACACCAAATTACACCTGAATTCAAGCCTAAAGAACATCTAAACTTCTGAATTCCACAAACGACGCCGAAACCTACCAAACCACGTCCGACTGACCTCAAATTTTCCACACAAGTCTGAAATGACACCACGACCTACTCCAACTTTCGAAAATCCAATCCAAACTCGATATCAAAATTTTTTCTGCCGGCCAAAATCGCCAAAATTCTAACTTTCGCCAATTCAAGCTTAATTCTACTACAGACCTCCAAATCACATTCCGGACGCGCTCCTAAGTCCAAAATCACCTAACGGAGTTAACGGTGCCGTCAAAATTCAAATCCGGGTCGTTTACATATAAGTCAACATCCGGTCAACTTTTCCAACTCCAGCTTTCAATTAAGAGACTATGTGTCTCAATTCACTCCAAAACCACTCCGGACCCGAACCAAATAACCCGGTATATCATAATATAGCAGAACAACACAAAAGAAGTAGAAAATGGAGGAACGAGGCTATAACTCTCGAAATGACCGGTCGGATCGTTATAGATCTTTACTGGACTATGATCACTTATACCTTCAGGAAGGACATTTGCTTTACTTGGTGGCATTATGTCTAACCACTTATTTGTTAATAAAAATTCAATCAATTTTTGCAAAAAAATCCTTTGTCCACTACTACTTCTTTCATTCCATGTGTATCTTTGCTCCACATAAGGAAGCTCGATCAACCCACAGGTTTCTATAAAGTGATGGAAGTCTACAATTTCTGATCATGTTATTAGATTTTCTCCCACTCTATCATCCGCATTCAACACTGAATTAAAGTCCCCGGCAATTATCCATGGTTATTTGCATGTCGTGCTATAGTTCATTAATATGTTCCATAGCTCTTTCCTGTCCTCTCGTGTATTAAACGATACACAAAAGAAATAACAAAGTCCAGTTTCAAAGGGATGTTGCGCACAACACAAGTGACAATCTGGGCTGTTGTTTCCAATAGTACTACAGTGTAGTAATCTGGTCTCCATGTAATCCATATTCTCCCATTATAATGGGCTGCTAGATTAGTAATATAAGCCATACTCCAAACATATTCTCTGCCATAATTTCAATATTGTTACTCTTTATTTTTATTTCTAGTAATTCTACTAAACCCACTCTCTCGTTATTGCAAAGGAATTTGACTTTCTTTTGCTTATTTGGGTTGTGAAGCCCTCTTACATTCCAGCTTAGACAACTAACCATTCCCTTGATTGGGAACCTTTTGATTACCCACATTGACATCATTTCTTAGTTGTTTATCACTGTTGTTTAGATTACCTACATTGCTAACAATATTGATGGTACTCTCTCTGTTAAGTACCTAAAATGTGTTTGAACTGACCACTTCTGTTGCTGATAGTTTCCTGTTTGTTGTTGCTTGCCTTGGTTTCGTCCAATTCTCTGAAGAGTAATCCATACATTCTCCTTAGTTCCTTGTTCTGCCACATTTTCCTCCTTCGCATTTGTCCCATTCTCTGTGTTCACCAATGATAAATGTTGAGCTGTATTCTCTTCATTTGTGGCTTTCCCATTCTTCTCTTGTGCTGCATTATGCTGGCCCTTCTTCTTCCTACAGTTGATCTCATCATGCCCGTATTTATCACAATTCTTGCATAAGGTATGCTTCCAATCGTACACCACCTTCTGCTCCACCAATTTCCCTATTTCATTCTTGAAAGTAACAAAGTCTTGTAGGTTAGCATTCATTTTCACCTCGACCAAGAGTCTAGCAAAGTTCAATCCAGACTTCCTCTCTGTATTTTGATCAACCGTTAGTGGTTTCCCAACCAAACCTCTTATCTTGCTTAAACCCTTAAGACTCCAATATTTGAAATCAAGCCCAGAAAATTTGATCCAAATAGGTATTGTATAGTGTATACAACTCATCTCTTGTAAACACCGTTTCAGAGTTCCAAGCTTTCACAATGAAGGGTTTATTATCAAAATGATAAATCCCGCCCTGAATTACATCATTTTTCCCCACCTCAGAATCAAATCGTACTAGGACAATTCCTTTGGATAAACCCCTCTAACACAGCAAACGGTGGGTGTGCACCTAGAACATAACACACCACTGTCGTCTTCCAATACTCAATTAAGAGCTAATAACTTCCAATTCAATGTCAATGATGGGCGACTCACCATGCGAGGAAGGAGCAACATACTCCAATTTGAATCTGGCATTTGATACCTTTGAGATGTCAAAATTGTCCCAAATCGATGGCTTCCTCACTGGATCCGCCCTTGCTTATTCACTCCACCATATCTGCCCATGATTTTCGCCCACTACTTATTGGCGATTGAATCCCAGCACTTGTTGAAGCTTGCACTAGGGACATCTGTCCACTTTCTTTTTGACTAGTTACTATTTCATTGATTTCCGATCCGATTCGAATCTCTTCCTGGATTGCTATAGCTGTCTGGTTCTTCTGCCCTAGAAGGCCATTACCTTGTGTAGCTATAGCCTGAGCTTGAAGAGCTTTTTGCGATGGCATGTGTGCCCTCTTCCCCATGGCCGGCGCATGTTAGTAAACGTGCGCTTTGAGAGAATACATGCCTTTCAAATACAAATTCAAATATACAAAATCAAATTAAATTTGAAGATAATTTCTTTCCAAATTTGAGGAAAATTAAGCTAATAATTTATAAAAACACATTAGTTTTTACTTCTTCTTTTCAAAAGCCAAATAAAGAATGAAGAAATTTGCTCAAGTTGAACTATTGGATTATGACCCGTCACTTGACCCATTTGAGCTAACTCATTTTGATCCAAACAAACTTTGATCAGATTAGATCATGACTCTGTTTATTATTTTAATCCATATATGCTCAACCCAATCCGCCTATTTACCCCCTCCTTCTCGTAAGTATAGTCGCCCATTTATCACCTCTATATAGGCAATCCAGTGCACAAAATATTCGGTATTCACGCAGGATCCGGAGAAGGGACGCACCCCTAAGTATAGCTTTAGAGTACATCTAAAATTCAGTGATGTGGAGTGTAGGAATGAGCTGAAAATTCGGATGAATAAAGGTTCCAAGTACAACAATAAAATCTAATTAAGAGTTTCATAGTTACAACGCTACATAGAAAAAAAAACTGGCTACGTACGATTCCTAAATAAAGATTACATATGCAGCAGCCAATTCCCAAGACATTGAACAGAATTTTTGTTCCCTTAAGGTTCTTGTGGGTTCTTTTTAGCAGACGGGTTCTTATTATTATGCATCCAAACCTTAAAAACCTGTCTCTTCACCCCAACTTGAGAGCAGAATCTTTGTACTTCAGTGTCATCTTCTCTTGGAATTCTCCACCCTAATTTCTCTGCAAATTCCAACATTTTTTCCTTCTGGTCTTGAGTGAACTTTGTCCGAAACCGTTTCTTGGCTAACATAAATGGTGGTTGTGGTTGTGGAGGCACTGAGGTTGCCTGCTGATAAGTGTTGAAGTTAAGTTCTTCACTTGATGAGTCCGTAGCTCCACTTCCACCTCCGCCGCTGCCTGAGGAAGAGATAATTCCAAATAAAAATGCAATTTCTCCAACAGTTTTAAGCTTTTAAAAGAAATGTTTATTCAATACAATATGGTACCAGAGCAGATTAGAGCGTAGGCAAGAGTGACAAGTTGAAATATAATCAAGTAGATAGAAGTGTAATTTTTCTAACTTAACTTTTTGGATGACATGTCTTCTTTTCGACTCTCATTATCACTCATTTCCAAAAAGAATTTCAAGAGTTTTGCCATACAAAATCAAGAATGGGATGCACGAAAGGTGTGTTAACATAATTAAGTAAATAAAGTGTTATTTCTATGACAGTTTAATTTTTTTTAGATAAAATAATCACACAATTCAAGAATAAAATGTGCGAAGGATGTGTTAACTTAATTAAGTAAATAAAGTGTTAGTTTTATGAGAGCTTAAGTTTTTACATAAGATCATCATAAAATTCAAGAATAAGATGCCTGGAGGGAATGTTAACATAATTAAGTAAATAAAGTGTTATTCTTATGACAGTTTAATTTTTTTTTTTTTTAGATAAAATGATCACACAATTCAAAGATACTCCCAAATGCTTGGACAGGTGTTTCGTCATGGAAAAAAGGTCTGACATGAGAGGCTCTAGAGGTCGGGAAAGACATAATTAAGTAAATAATAATGTAATGAGCGGCCGTCGACATTACCTCCGAAGGCCATTTTGACAGGCTGTGGCGGCATTGTACTCCAAACTGAGCGGCCGTGCTGATGGTGATGGTTCATCGACGGAAGCGGAGAAGGCAGTGGTTGAGGAAGCTGAAGCGGATGTACAACCATAATACCAGCATTATTATTATCAACATTTGGTTGTTCTTTTCTGTGAAAATTACGGTGGCAATTACAAGCAGCACATTTTAACGCCTCAAGCGTTCCTTCTTCTCCACTAGGCATAAACTCACCACATCCGTCAGTAACATTTCCTCCAATGCTAGCCGCATGATTCTTCAGACATTCACGATACCTTGCTCGTGATGTTATCTTAAATTTATTATTAGTAGATCCGCCACTGGAATATGGTACAACTACTGGAGGTGCTGAACCAGTACCACCACCCGTAGATGATTTTTCATGATCTTGTTGTGGCTGTAGATTATTATTGTTGTTGGGTTGGTGGTGGTGGTGGTTACTTTGATCTAAGTTCTGATCAAGTGAATGATACCCTAATGACCCTTGCATTCTCATTTCCTTATCCTCACCAGCTAATGCCATTTTTAACTTAAACCCTAATTAACTCTTTTCTTATAAACCTAAAACAGTACTAGTAACTAATTATGAAAAACCCTAATAATCTTTCTTCTTCAGCTAAGTTTACACATTAACATAACATGAAAATAGAAGTTGAGAAGTCTGTTTAACTAAATCTATGTAACCTAGCTAGCTCGAATATCCTTCTTGTAAGAGATAAGGCTATTAAAACTCCATGTTTAGACTAAATCAAAATACTAATCTAATTTGGAAAGAGAGAGAGAGTGTGGAGAAAAACGAAAAGGAAAAACAAAAGGTAATGAAGAATTAGTGGTAATTAATTAGAAGAAGAAAGCTGGAAATAAAGAGATGGGGCCCTAGAAGTACTACTACTACTACCTTAGAAGTAGTGAAGCCGGCGGACCACCTTAAACATAACCTGAGATAACTAAGAAACAGTAATCTTATAAAATTTTGGTTACTTAGAATTTATAGTGGAGAAGAAGGAAAAAGTAATAAAAGGTTAGGGGATATTTAGGTTAAGAGAGAAAAGTGTTTGTGTTGGGGAGGAGGCAACAGGGTGAGAATGTAAGAAACAAGAGACAACATGGTTGCTTGAGAAGAGACGAAGCTAAATCTATTGTTGTAAGTTAAAAGCAAAGAGAATTGAAAGGGGGGTTGAAGAGGGTGGTGGGTAAGAGGAGATAAGAGAGAGAGAGAGAGAGAGAGAGAATAGTAGTGCGGAACAGCAAAGAGAGAAGTAAAAGATAATGTGTGATGAGATTATAGGGAGTTGATTTCAATTGAGAGTTAACAAACAACAAACAATACTACTGAGCATAAGAAAACAACCGACAATGTCATGTTCAGTCCTCTCCCACGCCCTGCCAACATTGGCCCCATTCCCACACCCTCTTCATTATTGCCCCACCCCTCCCCCTTACCCCATGCTACCAGGGCATTGGATTGAAATAATCTTGCTATCTTTACAAGGTAATGATAAAATTTGTATATGTACTATTCTTCTCATACTTTATTTATAAATATACATTAGTGATTCGTTTGGTACGAGGAATAAAAGATAATTAATCCCGCGTTTAAATTTAAAATGTGTTTATATCATGTTTGATTGGGATAAAATTACGGTATAACTAATATAGTATTAGTTATTCGGGATTGTAGTGTTTATTTATCCTTATGGGAGGATAAAATAACTAATCTCGTGATAATTAATCATGGAATAACTTTTTTCCAACCAAACGAACCCAAGTATGTTATCTTTACTATTGTTGTGTGAGGATAGAGGAGCTCCTAATTTAAGCTACTATATGTTTTGTTAGTGTAAGAAAATTTTATATTATCAAATTATTTTTATTTGTTGTACTGGATGATATGTTTTACTTTTAAAAGTACAAATTCAATATGGCATACATGTAGATATTATTTGGTCGATCTAATAGTGTAAAAGTTATACACTAATAGTGTATATAATTTTAGTGGGCGTTTGGACATAAGAAATGTAAAATTCCAAAAAAAAAAAGTGATAAAAAACTTCAAGTGAAAATGGTATTTGAAAATTAGAGTTGTGTTAAGACATGAATATAATATTGATTATTTTTGAAGTTTTGTGAGTGATCTGAGTGAAAAATTTGGAAAATAGCTTTTTGGAGTTTTCAATGTCACGACCCGGAATTCCCACCTTCGGGACCGTGATGGCACCTAAAATTTCACTTGCTAGGGAAGTCAACGTTAGAGAATTTCTAAATCAACTTCAGTACACTTTTAATAACAGAAGTAATTAAACTAAACAGAAGCTAAAACAGAGTTTGCGAAATATTATAAAAACATTAATATTTGCTACCACCCAGATCTGGAGTCACAATTCACGAACTTCTAGGATTTACACAAATAACAATTTAAAAAGAATACAACTGTTTGAGTGAAAGAAACAGTAATAACAGAAAAGATAGACGGGGACTTCAAGGTCTGCGAACGCCGACAGATCTACCTTGAGTCTCCGATGAACCAGTCTGATCAGCTGCTACGCCTGTCGATCAGCTGGGACCAATATCAAAATTTGCACAGAAGTGCAGTGTAGTAACCGACCTCATGTACTGGTAAGTGTCGAGCGTAACCTTAACGAAGTAGTGACGAGGCTATGACAAGGCACCCACATAATAAACCTGTGCAATTTAACAGTACATGTACAAAATAACGACAAGTAAAAAATAGAAAGGTAATATCGGAAGGGGGAACATGCTGAGGGAATTACAAGATAGAGAATCACAACAGTAATGAGAGCTTGATCAACCAATATACCTTGAACCAATAATAACAAGTAAACACAGTAAAGGAAAATGTACGACATCACCCTTCTTGCTTTTACTCTACACCTCACCATATAATCAATAGAAACGGCACGACATCACCCTTCATGCATTAACTCTCATAATATGGCACGGCATCACCCTTCGTGTATTAACACTCAAAATATGGTACGGCATCACCCTTCGTGCTTTTACTCTCTCATAACGTGGCACGGCATCACCCTTCGTGCATTAACACTCTCCCTTACCATAAGACAATGAACAAAAGACAACAGGGAGATAGAAATAACAAGAACAAGTCTTACTTAAATATTTGGTTCCACAATACCAACCTCAACTTTGAAATCAATATTCAATTATCACCAAAAGATCTGTAAATATGATAAGAACGATCAACTTGATTATACTAGTCTAAACATGGATAACATGATCAAAGGAAAACAATAATTACAAGAAACCAAGTCCCACCCGCATGCTTTACCCGACAACAACGCATAGGTACTCGTCACCTCACCTATACGTTGCACCCAACAGCTAAACACGTAGCAAACAGACAAATAAGTCATAATCTCTCAAGTCAAGGTTAACCACGACACTTACCTCGCTCCAAAGACCAACCTCAAAGCTCAACCATTGCTTTGCCTTTCAAACAAGCCTTCAAACTGATAGAATCTAGCAATTTACCAACCAAACGATTCAAATTAAGCCTTAGGAACTACCCACTATTGAAAAGAATTCAATTTAAGTCATTATTGAAAAAGTCAACACCCAGGCACGCTTGGTCTAAACCCGAAATTCGGACCAAAATCCGATTACCTATTCACCCCCGAGCCCGGTTATGTAATTTGTTTTGGAATCCGACCTCAATTTGAGGTCTAAATCCCCAATTTACCAAATCCCTAATTTCTACCGAAAAACCCCCAATTCCACCATGAAAACTTTAGATTTTAGGTTGAAATCTGAGAAAAAGTAGTGAAAGATTGAAAGAAACTAGTTTAGAATTACTTACCAATGATTTGGGAAAGAAAGAGTCTTGAAAAAATCGCCTCTAAGGTTTTAGGTTTTTGAAAATTCGAAGAATGAACCAAAAACCCCGTCTAAGTCATATTTACCCAGCTGCAGATGTTACATTTGTGACCCGCAAATGCGAAGGAACCATCGCAAATGCGAAGCCCTTCACACTTCTGCTGCCTTAGCAAATGCGAAGGTTAGTTCGCAAATGCGAACAAGACTCTCCGCAATTGCAACCCTATGATCGCCCTTGCGATCATTGCCTTTTCCGAGACTCACTTCGCAAATGCGAAGTATGTTTCGCAAATGCAAAAATTGTGTGGCCCAGCTACTCTTCACAAATGCGAGACTGATATGTTCGCAAATGCGATCTCTGATCTAGCAGATGTTCTAAGTCCAATTTCATTCTCTGTGGCTTATCTGAAACTCACCCGAGCCTTCGGGGCTCTAAACAAAAAGTGCACACAAGTCTAAAAACATCATACGAACTTGCTCGTGCGATCAAATCGCCAAAATAACACCTAGAACTACAAAATTAGCACCAAATCAAATGAAAGTTTCAAGAAAATATTGAAATTTCTATTTTCACAACCGGACGTCCGAATCACGTCAAACCAACTCCGTTTCTCACCAAATTTTACAGACAAGTCATAAATATGTTATTGGACCTATACCGGGTTCCTGAATCAAAATACATACCCGATATCCAAAAAGTCAAACCATGGTCAAACATTTCCATTTCATTAAGCCTTTAACTTTTAAATTTTGACAAAGTCTGATATCTTGGACTAGGTACTTCCGAATTCGATTCCGGGCACTCGCCCAAGTCCCAAATCACGATATGGACCCACCGGGACCGTTAAAATATGTATCCGGGTCCGTTTACCAAAAATATTGACCAAAGTCAACTCAAATAAAATTTTTTTAGGCAAGAATTCTTATTTTTATCAACTTTTAACATAAAAGCTTTTCAGAAACACATCCGGATTGCGCATGTAAATCGAGGAGGGATAAAATGAGGTGTTTAAAGCTTAAAAGCGTAGAATTGAGTTCTAAAACATATATAAGATGACCTTTCAGGTCATCACATTCAAATTTTTGAAAACTTTCACAATGCATCTTCAAGTGAAAATTGGAAATTTTATGAACAAACGTTGATTTCGAAAAACGTAAAAAAATTTCAACAAAAGAAAAAATTTCTTATGTCCAAACGGGCTCTTAGTCTCTAGAATATTTTCTAAGGGAATATAAAACGTCATTGTTACTCCTTTTGTTCCATTTTATGTTATTTTTTTTAGTTTGTTTAAAACATAATGTTTTCATATTTAAAAATAATTTAATTTTTAAACTAATCATTATACTCTTAACAATATAATTTTAGAATTATACAAATGTCTGACATTTATTTTAGATTACAAGTTCTGGGTTCTTTTTTTTTTTTTTTTTTTTTTTTTTTATACTTCATACTCAATCTAGCACGTCACATAAAATAAGATGGAAGATGTATTTAATAATAAATTAGAAAGATTTCCATCATATCATGCTTGAGTTAATCTGTAATATAGTCTAATTTATTGTTAACGAACATAATTGTGTACGGTCAAAATCAGAAATGCCCGATTTCGTAGGCTCGAAGAGTCGCTTCAAGCCTAAGTTCAAAATGGACCGGGTGTTTGATTCAAAAGATATTGGAATCTTATTGAACAAATCAATCAAAGAGAATGAAGGGGTAAATCTTAGCTAAGCATAATAAGCTCTAGAGGAGAAGACACAAGTAATGAACACGATGGAAAGTATTTGTTGATCTTATGAAAAAGGCGTTAATTGTACAGCGAGAAAGACAATCTTCAATATAGGAAAGAGTTTACAAGCTTTGCTTTCAACCGAAAAGGCCCAAAAAACTCCCGAAGATCCCCCTACTGGGTATTTTCTCCACTATATATAAGGGCTAACCCCTCTCTACACCCTAGAGAACATACCCTAGGAATATTCGTGAGAATATTCCAAGATACCCCTAATTGGGCCTACATTGCTGCAACAGCTTCGATCCGAGGCCGAGTATGACCAACCTTGAGATAATACCGTTATGGTTTTATAATAGAAAGAGCGAGATCCCGCAGCGGCCCTAAGATCACGGTGCAAATTTCGGAACGAATTTGTACTAGGTAGTTAGACAACTGTCCAATAAGATCCCCTACTAAAAATGGAAATGTCCCTTATTTGGGACTCCCCTATTATATAAAGGGGAGCCCATTCAATTGTAACATCATCAATCATTGACAAGAGAATATACATACATCACTTTCTTGCTTGCTGTTCATCTAAGTTGCCTTATAATTTATTATTCTTGCTGACCTACCTCGAGACTGCCATATTTCGAGGTCGAGACTTGCTTGCACACTGGTTTGATTTGCTTTACTTCT